TATCTTTTTTACATATTTGATTCAAACTTGATTTAATAGTAACCTCGGAATCGATGATATGTACTTTAGTTTAGAAAGTGCCGAAACTATTGCAAACCATATCTTGGCTTTATATGGTGCAAAGATTTTCGCATTCACAAAAAATGAAAATGTCCTAGACATCAATCTTGAACGTGAAACTGATGAAACTTCTGTATATATTCATACTTCTCGTCCTGGTGTCTCTCAATTACATGGTCCTCAACATGAAAGAAGGTATGATTTTTTTTTTTTTATTTCCTTTATATTACGGATCATGCTTTTATATGATTTGTATGCTTTATATAATTTTGTTTTTTTTTTTTAATCTCCGATATTAATTCTTATATTTTATCTCATTTTTTAATTTTACTTTATTTAACAATTCGCTTATTTTAGAATTGATGAAAAGTTTTTAGATGTTAGTACAACTGCCAAGGCTTATCGTCTAGAATCTTATCGTTCTCAAGGAAATGTTTCTTCTGGAATGGATACTCAACTCCGTTGTTATTTTGTGACAAAATGTAATTTCGTAAAAACTGATCCAACTCCTGAAGAAGAAACTGATATTCGTTGTGTAGGTGATAAAACATTTTTAGAAAAAGCTACTGATAATACTTTGGAAATTTATCAAAATGTTATGAAAGCTGTTCTTCAAAGAACTGGTCCTGTAATTGAAATGTTTGAAGTCGAAGGAAGTCGTGAACGTCGTCTTGTTATTGGTTACAGGCAACGCAGTACTCAATCCTTTTTCTCTGCTATGTCTGATCTTTATCATTTTTATGAGTTATACTCTACTAGAAAATATGTTGAACAATTCTCTAATGGTGTGACTGTAATGAGTTTATACCTTAACCCTCTTCCTACTTCAAAATCTGCTCCAATAGAACATACTATTCATCAAGTTATAAAAGAGGCTTCTTTAATTTATTGTTTACCTACTACTCCTTTACAATCTTTCTTCCAAACAAATAAATTATCCGTTCAAGAAGCAATTTATGGTTATATTGCTTGGTTATTTGCTCAACATTTTCTTAATCGTTTGGGTAGTGAATATACTAGTCTTGCTGCTGCTATGGATCCTAATGATCCTGTTCATATTGAAGTATTGAACAAGATTAAAAAAAGATT